ATCCAGAAAAGCTATCATTTAGAATGGAAGGGCAGATACAGTGCTTCCCAAATAAGGTCAAGTTAAAAAGGAGTTCATCATCACCAAGCCCTCATTATATGAAATGTTAAAGAGACTTATCTAAGAAAAAGAAGATTAAAATAATGAACTGTAAAATGACAACCAACTCACAACTATCAACAACTGAACCTAGTGAAAAAAACTAAGCAAACTAGAAATAGGAACAGAATCACAGAAATGGAGGTCTCATGGAGGGTTATCAGTGGGGAGGGAGGGGGGATAATGGGGGAAGAGGTACAGGGAATAAGCAGCATAAATAGCAGGTACAAAATAGACAGGGGGAGGTTAAGAATAGTATGGGAAATGGAGAAGCCAAAGAACTTATATGTACAACCCAAGTGTCAGGAGAGTAGGGGAATGCTGGTGGGATGGCGGTGCAGGGCAAAGGGGAATAAAGGGGAGAAAAATATGGGACAGCTGTAATAGCATAATCAATAAAATATATTTTTTAAAAAATATACAAATACCAAATATATTTCTGTATACCAACAACAAACAATTAGAAGACAATTTTTTAAAAGGTTTTATTTATTTGCTTTCAGAGAGAGGGAAAGGGAGGGACAAAGAAAGGAAGAGAAATATCAATGTGTGGTTGTCTTCTCATGGGCCACCTCCCAGGGACCTGGCCCGCAACCCAGGCATGTGCCCTGACTGGAGTCAAACTGGTGACCCTTTGGTTTGCAGCCCATGCTCAATCCACTGAACTACAACAGCCAGGGCTAGAAGAAGAAATTTAAAAGACACAGTTTATGATAGAATAAAAATCAAATACCTAAAAATAAATATAATTAAATATAGGTAAAAATCTCTCCATTAATAACTGCACATTATTAGGAGAAATTAAAGAAAGCCTTAGTAATGGAAGCTGATGTCAAAATTTGCATACAAAGGGTAAAGAGTAACCAATACAATCTTGAAAACCAGAGTTGGAAAATCTATACTACCAGATATCATGACTTATTGTATTGTGGCATTGGTGCAATGGTGGTTAGACAAATAGTATCAGTTAGGAGACAGAAAACATAGTAGTGTCTGTGTTGGCATGTGCATGGGCCAGAATGTCTTAGTCTCTAGGTTTTACATTTGGTCTCCCCCTGAATCACAGCAGCCTGTGAGGGCAGGGATTAGGTCTTTGCTGGTGGCCGCTGTGGTAGCAACATGACCCACCCAACACCTGGCTCAGAAGGGAAACCAGAGAATTCTTGCTGAATGAACATCTGAACAAACCAGGGAAGGGACCCCATCCTGTACCTATTGACCATGAAGGCTATTCTGGGATTCAGAAACTGCTTTTCCATTGGAAGGTAAACCCCAGTCCCAGTGGGCACAGGGAACAGCCTGGGTGAGGGTCAAAGCCCAGGCTAATGTCCTAGTTCAGTCACCTATAGATGGAGGCCAAGGGGTAGGTGAGCCACATGTTATTGGTCAACTTGCCCAACTGATAAATGTCAAAGAGGAAGTAGGACTGGTTAGTTTCCTTTAAGTGGCGATAGGGTATAAGGCAGGTTTCCATCTGCAGCGCAGGATGCACACAGCTGTATTGCTCCTTTTTTGTCCTCAGATAGAGCCAACAGGGCATGGGTTTTTCCAGGGGCTCCTCAGTATAGCAGTGTCCCAGGTATTTGTGCTCACCTGACTCCCCACAATGGTTACAGGGCTCCCAGTGGGTAAAGATCCAGCTTTAGGGTCTTATTCTGCAGGAGCGTTTGGCCCAGACCTTTCTGTGTAATATGCAGGGTGGTGACATCCTAGAAATGCAGCTCATAGTCTACCACAAGGGCACTCGTATTGTCTTGGCAGTGACAGAGGTTTGGCTGGGAGGGCTGAGGGTTGGTCAGGTGGAGGCTGGCCCCAGGCGGTTTCTTTATGGTAGGCATTGAGACCAGCATCCTCCCCTAGAGTGGAAGAAAAGCACCAGAGTGCCTTGGGATGGTCACACTGCAGGACAACACCAATGCCTGAGAGTAGAACCTGCTAGTATAGAGTCTTGTAGGTGCAGCTGATTAATGTTTGGGTCCACAAAGTGGGGAGAGAAAGACTAAGCAGCAGCAGGGTAGTCAGCATGGTAGCCAAGGCTACAGAAGGACGCTGTGAAGTCACCTTCGGAACTCAGGCATCAGCCCTGGGCAGTGAAATGGACCCTGGTCCACTGTACTTCCAGGAGTACAATTCAGTTTATGTCATCAAATAGCTTATTGTAGGTTGTAGGGTCAAAAAGTCAAAGGTCCACAAGAACTGGGCAGGAAACAAAAGTGAGTGAACCTAAGTCAGGACAAGTGAACTAAAAAACCAAATTACTTATCCTCCATATACCCATGTGAAATGGGACAAAATGGCTTCATGCTCATCAAGAAGGGTAAGAAAGGGAGACACACAAAAATCACTGGTCTGTACCATTTCTCAAATCCAGTGAGAAGAACCTGCAAGGGCCTCCTATCTTGTAGATGGGGAGAAATATTTCATTAGCAACAAATCAGCTACTGGGAGAAGGAGTTCCCCAAACCTTTCTTCTCTGTGGTCATGTCTTCAACGTCCAGGGAGACACCTCCTTTTCCATTATTCTCCTTCATTACATCTGAGGTGGCACTGGAGGATGTGCCCTCTTTGGCAAATGGACATTTTTCTCAGCCTGCTTGTTGTCTCTCAAAACTTGAGACTCAAATATTCTTAGTCAGTTTCATGTGCCAAAAAAACCACATCCACATTCTGTTCAAGATGCTCCCACCCTCCTCCCTCCCCATTCCTGCTCTCTTTCTCCCTCGCTATCTGTCACTATCTGTCACTATCTTTGCTACTATACAGTAATAAACTTCCTCCAAATCTCAATGACTAACAAAATCCAAGATTATTTCTCACTCATACTTCATGTCCACTGTGAGTTGGCATTATAATCATCAGGGATCCAGGATGATAGAAAGACTGCCATCTCTAACATTTCCAACTTCGTGCTAGAGAAGAAAGAAAGAGAGCTCTATGGTATATTATATCTACAGTTAAATGGTCTGGACTTAAATGACATATGTCTCTTGCTCACAAACCATTGGCCAGAAACAGTTACACAGGATCACCAATTTAACAGACCAACATCGGAAATTCTACGTGTCCTTGAAACATTTGACAAATGGCAATCAGTAATGATTACCGCAACTAATGTCTAATAAAAGGAACATTCTTTCATATCATAAAGTTAAAACCATTTCCAAACCCTCCCATCAGATCTCTCCTCAAGTTCCATTGCCTGGATTAGGTCACATGTGCAGATCCAAAGCAATCCCTAAAAGGAAATAAAATGTCCATGCTTGGCTTAAGCCAATCAGAATTTGTTCTCTAATACTGAGGAAGGACACTCTTCTGTGACCACAGAAGTCGCTGAAGACCCAAACAAAATCAGAACTTTGTATGCATGAGATGTAGAAGGGAATGCTTATTTGCTGTAACCATCCATGTCTGCCACAGCATCCACTGATGGGATTGTGGTAGGCACTGTGTAAGTTACATGGCCTCAGGCAAGTTGCTGAAACTTGCTAAGCCTCAGTTCCACTCTCATCACAAACTATGATTATTACAAAGTTTTCAATAGAGTATTCATGTCAAATTCTTGGCATAGTCTGGATTTGGAATAAGACAGTGGTCAGGATAAAGGGAATATGGCCAAGGTTTCAGTCCCAGGCTCTGGGATCAAGGTTTCAGTCCCAGGCTCTGGGATCAGTTTCATCTCTTGATCTACCTTGTATTAATTTGGGCACAGCAACTTCACCTTCTTATGCCTGGCCCATTGACTTACTCCATAAATAATTATTGCTTACTTACTTCCATGAGACACTAAGGATCCAGGCTAAGTTCCTGCCTTCTTGGAGTTTATATTATAGTGAAGATGTATTAATCAGAATACATTAGGTTATATGGTGTAACAAAAGAATTCTCATAGTTCAGTGGCTTAACATGATTTCTGTTTGCTCATGCAAATGTCCAAAGTGGGTTGATGGAAAGCTCCATTCTATACAGTGCCTTCAAACGTGATGAATTATGAAGCCTGCGCCATCTGTGACTCCATTAGCTGCTATGGCAAGAGAAAGGAGGATAGTGAGTCATGCACTGGCAAGGAAATGATTTGGCCTGAGAGAGATCTACATTACTTCTCATTGCAGGACATTCACTAAAATTAATCACATATCCCCACCTAACTGGAAATGGAAGGCAGCACATGGAATATTTGCTGAGCAATTCTGTCTTTGCCTTGAGGAAAAAAAGATGGTAAACAAATAAGTGACTAATAAAACATCAGGTCACAGTAAGTGCTTTGAAAAGGAAAAACGTGATAGGTAAGAGAGAGATGGGGATAACAACTTTATGGGCTAAATTGTGTGCCCCCAAATTCATTCGTTGAGGCCCTAATCCCAGTACCTTAGAATACAACTTATTTGGAGATAGAGCCTTTAAAAAGGTAAATAAGTTAAAATGAAGTAGTTAAGGTGGGCCCCAATCTAATATATCTGGTGTCCTTATTAAAAGAAGAGATTAGGGCACAGACAACACACACAGGAGGACAACCATGTGAGGACACAGAGAGAAGGCAGCCATTTGCAAGCCCAGCAGACAGGTTTCAGAAAGAAACCAACCCTGCCAACACCTTGATCTTGTACTCCTAGCCTCTAGACTGTGAATAAATAAATATCTGTTGTTTAAACCACCCATTCTGTGGTATGTCACAGGAACCCTGTCAAGCTAATATAAAGACCACTTTAAAGGGAGTAAAGAGAGAAGTCCTCTCTAAAGAAGTAACATTTGAGCAGACCCACATAATATGAGCCACACAGATTCTAGGGGAAGCAAGGTGTGGACAAAGCAGACAGCATACCAAAGGCCTTAAGGTGGGAACATGTTTGGTATGTGCCAATGCACTTCAGCCAAAGACCATGAGGAATGTACCTGTGGTTGAACAAAGTTGATTTTAATGACCAAATGCAGTTCGGGAAGATGGACAACATGGGGAATAGGGCAATGTTTCAGTAAAAAGGTGTTAGAAAAGACTCAGAGAATTGGGGCTTATGTTATGTGATATAGGGGAAGGTGCCAATAAGGGGGATTTCCTTTGGATTGAGAGCTCTCAGGAAGTGGGAGTAATTCTATATTATCTAGAAGATGAGAAGAATGCAGTAAAGTTAGAGCAGCTGTCACTCATATTATCTGGGGGAGGAGTCATTTGGTATTTTGTGGCTTAGACAATGTTCCTGTTTTCATCTGTGTTCAGACATGATTATACAGTAATTCTGTTTTTGTCTTGGTTCATCGCAGTCACAGAAAGGCCATATGTGATGTATGTCCTATTAAAAGAAAGAAAAAAAAAATAAATCATCAGTGAGGAAGCCCAGGTAGCAGATATACTACATAGAGATTTAAACTGTCTCAGAATGCTCGAAGAGTTAACAAAGACAGAAAAATGATTGAACAAAATAAGAATATCAATAAAGAGGTAGAAAATATTTAAAAGAATCAAAAAGAAATTCCGGAGGTGAAAAACACAATTACTGAAATTAAAAAAATCACTAGAGAAGCTCAAAAGCAGAGGTAAGCAAGCAGAAGACACAATCAACGAATGTGAAGATAAGACAAGTGAAATTAAAGAGTCTGATGAAGAGAAGAAAAAGTATTGAAAAATAGTGAAGAGAGTCTAAGGCACCTCTGTAACACTACCAAGTGGAAGAGTATACATATTGTGGGAATCTCAGGAGGAGAGAGAAAGTCACAGATATAACTACATTTGAAAAAAAAATAATGCCTATAAACCTCCCAAATTTGATTAAAGACATGAATCTAGAAGTCAAGAAGCTCGCCAAATTCCAACAGGAAAACCCCCACAAGATGCACAAGACATGTTACAATGAAACTGTTGAAAGACAAAGAGACAATCTTGAAAACAAAAAGAGAGAGGCAATGTGTCCCATAAAGGCATCCTCAATAAGTGTTCTAGCTGATTTGACACAAGAAACCCTGGAGGCCAGAAGGCAATGGGTGGAAATATTCAAAGTGCTGAAAGAAAAAACATTCAACCAAGAATTCCATAACTGGCAAAGCTGTCCTTCAACAATGAGGGAGAAATTAAAATATATGCAAATAAGCAAAAGCTGAGAGTTTGTTGCCACTATATCTGTCCTGCAAGAAATGCTAAAGGAAGTCCTTTAAGTTGAAATGAAATGAAAGGATGCTAGATAGTAACTCAAAGCCAGATGAAGAAATAAAGATCTCTAATAAAGATAAATACACGGGCAATTATAAAAACTAGTTTCATTGTACTACAATCCACTTTTAATTGTCTAGATGAGTTAAAAGTGCATTAATCTTTATTATCGGGGAAACAATGTATGAAAATGTACTTTATAATGTCAATGTTAGAAAGGAGGCAATGAAGATGTACAGGAGCAGACTTTTTACATGCCATTAAAGTTAAGCTCGTATAAATTCAAAATGAAGTGTTATAACTTTAGGGAATTATATGTAATCCCCATGGTAATCACAAAGAAAATAGCCATAGAATATACACAATGGGAAATCAGAATGGAAAATCAGAATGGGAATCAGAAGGCAAAACATTTCACTACAAAAACATTAAACACAACAGAAAGCAGTATGGAGTAAATAAGGAGCAAAAAAGCTTTAGGCATATGGAAAACAAGCAGCAAAATGGCATAAGTCAGAATGTCTTTCTCAGTGATTTCTTTAAATAAAAAGACAGAGGTTGGCAGAATGGACTTTAAAAAACTACTCAATCCAAGTATATGCTGTCTACAAGAGACTTACCTTAAGTACAAAAACGCAATAGTTTGAAAGTAAAAGGGTAAAAAAGGGTAAAAAGGGTAAAAAAAGGGTAAAAAATATCTCATACAAACAGTAACTTGAAGATATGAGTGGCTATAATCATATCAGATAAAATTGGCGCTATATTGAAAAAGGCTTTAAGAGACAAAGAAGAATATTATACGAGGTCTGTCCAGAAAAAGTCAAACCATTGTTAATGTAACAAGATCGGTTTGCATGACATCCTTGTAACCTGGCAGCCAAGAAGAGTGGACTGGAATGCAAGTGTGTGAACAGTGACAACTTCACCATACTAGTCAGTGGGGACAGTAGACACCATTGAGTGAGCATGTGTACTGTGCAGCCATTGCATTCAAAATGACTGAGCGAACAAAGCAATGACTCTGCATCAAATTTTGCATTAAGCCTGAACATTCCTCCACAGAAACTATTTGGATGATTCAGAAGACCACAACTATGGGTAACTGGTGATTGGCAACTTCATCACAACAATGTACCTGCTCACACATCATATTTCATGCAGAGTTTTTTGGTAAAACATCAAATGACCCGGGTGACTCAACCCCCTACAGACCAGATTTGGCACCCTGCAACTTCTGGCTTTTCCCAAAACTAAAAATCACCTTTGAAAGGGAAGAGATTTCAGACCATCGATGAGCTGCAGGAAAATATGAAGGGGCAGCTGATGGTGACTGGGAGAAATGTGTGAGGTCCCATGGTGCCTACTTGGAAGGGGACTGAGGCATCACTGTCCTATGTACAATGTTTCTTGTATCTTATATCTTCTTTAGTAAGTGTCTCTATTTTTCCTAGTACATGGCTGGATACCTTCTGGATAGATCTTGTATATTAATAAAAGATTTGATACAAGAAGTTACAATCAATATAAACATTTACACACCTAATAACAGACCCTCAACATATAAAGCAAATGTGGACAGAATTGTAGGGAGAAATAGACAGTTCTACAATAATAGAGACTTCAATATCCCACTATCAATAAGGGACAGAACAAATTAACAGATGATAAGTAAGGAAACAGGGGACTTGAACAACACGATAAATCAATAGACCTAGCAGACATATACAGAACACTCAACAACAAAATGAAAGTGTACACTGAACATTTTCCAGTATATACTGTATCTTAGGTCACCAATAAAGTCTCAGTAGATTTTAAAAAACAGATATCATACCAACTATCTTCTCCAACCACAGTGGGGTAAAATTAGAAAACAGCAACAGAAGAATAACTGCAAATTTTACATCTATGTGGAAACTAAACAACACTCTCTTAAACAATCAATAGGTCAATGAAGAAATCACATGAGAAATCTAAAATACTTAATGACAAATGAAAATGGAAATACAGTATTTTGAAATTGTGGGATGCAGAGAGAAATGTACAGCTTTTAATATCTACATTAAAAAGGAAGAGATATCTCAAATTAATAACTAACTTTATACCTTAAGAAACTAGGAAAAAAGGGAAATCAAACTTAAAACTAGCAGAAGGTAAAAAAGTAATGAAGAGTAGCAAAGAGATAAATAAAACAGAGAACAGAAAATGGAGAAAATCAATGAAACCACAAATTGTTTTCTTGAAAATAACAAAAATGACAAACCCTTTAGCTAGACCTGACCGAACAAAAAAACAAACAAAAAAAACCCCTACAAACCTAAAGCAAAAAAGAAGGTAGGGACATCACTATTAACCTTACAGAAATATGATCATAAGAGGATACTAGGAAAAACTGCATGACAACAAACTAGATAACCTAGGAGAAACAGATATATTCCTTGAAATGCATAGATCTACCTAAACTGACTCAAGAAGAAATAGAAACTCTCAACAGGCTGTAATAAATAAAGAGACTGTATCAGTAATTTAAAACCTTCCAGGAAAGTCCTGGGACAGATGTTCACAGATTAGTTAAAGCAAACATTTAAAGAAAAATTAACACTGACCTTTCTCAAACTCTTCCAAAAAACTGAAGAAGGAGAAACACTTCCTAACTCATGCTATGCAGCCAGAATTAACCTGATATCAAAGACAGATAAAGACATCAAAAGGAAAGAAAATTACAAATCAATGTCCTTTATGAATACAGATACAAATATCCACAACAAAATATTAGCAATGCAAATCCAATAGCATGTAAAAGACTATTCACAATAACCAAGTGGAATTTATCCAAGAATATAAGGGTGGTTCAACATTAAAAAAATCAAAGTAATACATTACATTAGTAGAATGAAAGGAATAAACCTACATGATTATCTCAATTGATGACGAATGGCATTTGAGAAAATCCAATCTTTTCATGATAAAAATGCTCAGAAAACTAAGAATAGAGGGAAAACTCCTCAGCCTGTTAAAGGGTATTATAGAAAAGACATCACTAACTGTAATGGTGAAAGCCTGAATGTGAAGGCTCTCCCAGAAGGTCAGGAACAAGACAAGGGTGCCTGTTTTCATTGCTGCTATTCACCGTTGTACTGGAAGTCCTACCCACAGGCAAGAAAAAAAGTAAAAGGCATCCAAATTGGAGAGGAAGAGGTAAAACTATCCCTATTTGTAGACAACAGGATCCTGTATAGAGAAAAAAGTCCAAAAGAATCCACAAGAAAGCCACCAGAGCTAATTAACGAATACAGCAAACTTGCAGCGTATAAGATCAACACACAAAAGTTAGTTGTGTTTCTATACAATAGTACTGAACAATCTGAAGAGAAAAATGTTTCAAATTCCATTTATAATAGCATCTGAAAGAATTAAACACTTAGAATAAATCTAATGAAGAAGGTAAAGGGCTTGTATGCTGAAACCACAAAAGATTGCTGAAAGAAATTAAAGGATATCTAAATAAATGGAAAGACATTCCATCTTCATGGATAGAAGGACTTAACATTGTTAAGATGTCAACACCACCCAAACTGACATACAGAGTTAATACAATGCCTAAAAAGGATGTTGGAATCAAAATTCCAACATCCTTTTTCAAAGAAATGTAAGAAAATCTTCATATTCATATGAAATTGCAATGAAGCCTGAATAGCCAAAACCACCTTGAAAAAGGAAGAATAAAGTTAGAGGACATGCATTTTCAAACTTCAAAGCTTACTAAAAGCTTTATTAATTACAAGAGTATGGTGTTGCAGAACCAATTGGTGTTCCACGGACCAATGGAATTGAATAGAAAACCCAGAAATAAACCCTCACATATATGGTCAATTGATTTTTGACAAGGATGCCAAAATCATTTACTGGGTAAAGTACAGACTTTTCAACAAACGGTGATGGGAAAACTGGATAACCACATGCAAAAGAATGAAGTTGCCCTGGCTGGCATAGCTCAGTGGATTGAGTGCGGGCTGGGAACTAAAGTGTCCCAGGTTCGATTCCCAGCCAGGGTACATTCCTGGGTTGCAGGCCATAACCCCCAGCAACCGTACATTGATGTTTCTCTCTCTCTCTCTCTCTCTTCCCCCCTTCCCTCCCTAAAAATGGATGAATTTAAAAAAAAAAGACATAGGAAAAAAAAAAAAGAATGAAGTTGAACCCTTACCTTATACCATATACAAAAATTAACTCAAAATTGATCAAAGAGACCTAAAATAGGCCTTTGAGTTAAAATATAGGTCTAAGAGTTAAAACTATAAAACCCTTAGAAGAAAATGTTGGGCAAAATCTTCATAACCACAGATTTAGCAATGATTTCATAGATATAATGCCACAAGCACAGGCAACAAATAGATAAACTGAACTTCATCAAATTAAGAACATGAAAGGATACTATCAAGAAAGTGAAACAATAACCTGCAGACTGGAAAAATATTTGCAGATTACATATCAGATAAGGGACTAATATTCAGAATATAAAAAGAACTACAACTCAACAACAAAAAAAACCCAAACACCCAATTAAAAAATGGGCAAAGATTTCAAAAGACATTTTTCCAAAAAATATATACAAATATATTTTTGTATATATTTATGTACCAATAAGTACATAAAAAGATGATCAACATCATTAATTTTTAGGGAAGTGAAAATGAACCACGATGAGATGTACTTCACACCCACTGGGATAGCTACATTCAAGGAAACGGGAAATGGCAAGTGCTGGTGAGGATATGGAGAGTGTAGAACTCTCCTGCATTGCTGTAATATAATGTAAAAGATGCAGCAATGGGGAAAGCAGCTCAGCAGTTCCACAGGATTAAAAATAGAACTACAGTATAATCTAGGAATTCCATTCCTAGGTATATATTCAAAAAAATTTAAAACAGGTACCTGTACAACATTGATAGCAGTGTTATTTACAATAAATAACCAAAAGGTGGAAACAACCTAAATGGACATACCACAAATGTGGTATAAACATAGTGAAATACTATCCAGCCATAAAAAATGAAGCTTTGATTGTCATCTATACGACAACATGGGTGGACTTGAAAACTTTATGCTTAGTGAATAAGCGTGACAAAGGACAAATGTTATATGATTCCGCTTATATGAGGTACCTAGAATAGGCAATTTGACAGGGAAAGAAAGTAGAGGTAACTAGGGGATGGGGACAGGTAGGAATGGGGAATTATTGTTTAATTGGTACAGAATTATAAAAAGGTTACAATGATAAATGTAATTAATGCTGAACCTTACACACAAATGGTTAAAATAGTCCTGACTTGGGTAGCTCAGTCGATTGGGTGCCATCCTGCAAACTGAAAGGTCACCAGTTCCATTATCAGTCAGGTCACAAGCCTGGATGCGGTTGCTCCCCGGTAGAGGCGCAGGAGAGGCCACCCATCCTTGTTTCTCACATCATGTTTCTCTCCCTTTCTCCCTCCCTTCTCTCTAAAAATAAATAAATAAAATCTCAAATGGTTAAAACGATACACATTTTGGTATGTACATTTTATCACGATAAAGATATTTTGTTAGAAAGAAATGGATCTGAAAGTTAGGGAGGGATGTTGAAATTTTGTAGAAAGTGACCAGGGGAAATGTTACTGCAAAGGTGCACCTTTAAGTAAAACCCTAAAGGAGGCGGAGAATCACGTGGCCACCTTCGGTAAGGGTGTCCCAGCAGAGGGATTATTAAGGGCCATGGGCCTGAAAGTGGCAGTGAGAGCCACATTCCGGAATAGGGGAGGCCAGAGTGACTGAATGGGAGGGGGTGAGGTCAGGGAGGGCGCAGGCCACACAGTTAGGTATTTTGGTTTCTGCTGGGAGGGAGAGCCACTGGAAGGTTTTGAGCAGGGGTACGTGATCCTACTTGAATTTTAACATGATCAAAATAAAACATCCCTGGTTACGGTACAGGCCAGACAGAGTGGCCAGTTGGCGACCTCGAGAGTCTAGTCCAACGCTCACGGTTCCCCAGGACGCACTTCCCCTACCCGCCAACAAGGGGCAGCAGAGCCTCGCCCAGCGTGCAGCGTTCCGGTGGCTCCGCCCCGCCCCGCCTCAGCACGCAGGTAGTCCAGACCTTGGGAATCTTAGCTGAAAACCCGAAAACCTGTCTTTAGTCCTGCGCTTCCGCTCGGCCCCTTCAAGAGCAAGGGTTTCCGGAGGCCTGACCTAGGGCTAGAGACGCCCAGAGGCCAAAACACGAGAAGAGAAGCGGCGTAGGCAGAGAAAACGTCCGAAGTACAATTCCAAGTTTTCCTGGGCCTGATTCCCCTTGGGCACCACAAAGGGAGAAACGCTTCCCTTCCGGGAACGTCACTTGGTTCTTCAAGTAGTCCAAGAGAAAGCCCTGCCCCTGGGGGGGTAGATCAGTTGGTTAGAGACTCGTCTCCAAACACCAAGTTGTGGGTTCGATCACTAGTCAGACAATCACTAGTCAGACGCTACCAAGAAGCCTCTCCCGGGCCCAAGTTCGCTGTGACTCTCCCCGCCCTGCACGGTGTATCTAGGCGGGTCCATAGCCGGCCGCGAGAGGGGCGAGAGAGAACAGGTGCTCACCGGGACCCCGCCCCCTAAACAGGTGAATCACCCCAGTCGAATCTCGGTTCTCCTGAGTCAGACTCCGCTGGGCTTGGCCCGAACAGGACGGGGCCGGGGCGCGGGGGGGAGGGGGGCTGGACGGTCTGTCGGTTCCCGCCCCGCCCCCCCCCGAAGCCTTGTTACTTGGTTCCAACCCTAGGGGCCGGAGCGCACCTGGGTCAGCCCACTTCCGGGCAAGGAGTGGAGGAGCCCCTTCCGCTGCAAGGTGCCCACCCCCTTGCCCAGCCCTCTGTTCTCGCCCTGTGTACCTGGGCCAATCCATTCTCCAGAGTGCGCAGGGGGGAGAGTGACTTGGAGAACCAGTGAGTCAGGCAATTATCTCCCCGAAAGCTGAAAGACTTCTTTATCCACGTTGTTTCCGTTCACTGAAGCCCTAGAACTGGGAAGTGTGGACTTGGAATAGGGACGAAAAACGGAACTGGGAATGGGAGGAGCCCGCACCCCTCCCAGCCTTGGTGTGCGCCGCGCCCCCTACCCTCCTGGTACTCCGCAGGGGACGAGCCGACGGGACTTGCCCGGACTGCCGCGATGGCGCCAGTGGCCCGCGGGCTGACTGGGCTGCTGGGCTCCTACCTGGGCACCTCGGATTGGGGCGCGGTCGTCTTCGTGTGGCTCTTTCTAGGCACTTTGTGCACAGGTACGGAGAGCGGGGCCCCTAGTGCCACGGAAGGGCGGGAGCGCATAATAGAAGGAGGATGAATAAAGTTCCACACCGCGGAGGAGGCAGGAGAGCTGGGGGAGGGGGATCGGAAGGACCAGGACCTTTCGATCCCCGGGTTCTCGGGAGATCCTATGTGTGCCAGTGTGCAGGGAATTCTGCCATTCGCGTTGGAAGCTCTCCCCCGTCCTTGTTAAGAGATAGCAGGAAGTGAAACTACGAGACCGCCAACCCTGGAGTGGCAAGGAGAATGGAACTCTTTGTAGGGAAGCGGTGATGGGACCACTGGGAAAGGCCAGGATGGAGACTTGAGCGCACGCGGAGATTTCTAAGTCTTGGGGTAGCGCGGAGCGGGCACTTGAGAGCTGAATCAGATACGTCGTTGAGGGAGAGATCGAGAAACGGTGCCCAAGCCTCGGTTGAGTGAGGGATTAGGAATTCCCCACCCATGTCCCCTGGGCTCCGCAGTATTTGTGCATAAGGGTCTGGTGAGATGAACTTCTGGACTTGGTTTGAAATAATCTTATGCTGGCAAACTTTCACTGGATCAGATGTTTGGGAGGAGGCATCGGGGGAATTTTATCTTTTCCAAGCACTTTTGGCATGTTTATTTGAGATGGCTTTGTGTAAGGTAAGGTGGGAAGCTAATGGACACATTGTGGAGTTTTAGCTACTACAATGGCAAAGCAGTTTATTCAAACAACTCCAAAATTTAACCCCCAACCCACCAAAGTGGGGGTAACTGGGAACCTTGATTGTGGTTTTTAAAGTGAGGCCTCCAACACTTTGTGGTGGTCATTTGGGCTTGCCTGTATGGGCCACAGAGAGGAGCCCTTTCTGTGAGAGAATGGTTAGGGGAAGAGGGGGCTGGGGTGGTTCAAAGGACATACTCTTGGAAGAGAGATGGACAGGGTTCCAGGAAACCTGTCTTTGCATGTGCCACACCAGTCCCATGGGTCTGTAAAATGGGCAGGATTATCGGAGCTTCCTCACGGGTCCTGGGGATTAAGAAATAATGTGTGCCAGTCTCCATAAAACCATACACCTGTAAGTGTGAAGTTGGTGACAAGTGTTGTTACTTATTTCTGCTGAAGCATTTTCCAGAGCTCATAGTGACCCCTACTGACTCTCCTCTTGCCCTCAGCCCCTATCAGTGCCATCCAGGTGACTGTGTCAGACCCCTACCACGTGGTGATCCTCTTCCAGCCTGTGACCCTGCCCTGTACCTACCAGTTGACCACGACTCCCACAGCACCCATTGTGATCTGGAAGTACAAGTCTTTTTGCCGGGACCGCATTGCTGACGCCTTTTCTCCAGCCAGTGTTGACAACCAGCTCAATGCCCAGCTGGCAGCTGGTAACCCGGGCTACAACCCCTATGTGGAGTGCCAGGACAGCGTGCGCACCGTCAGGGTTGTGGCCACCAAGCAGGGCAATGCCGTGACTCTGGGAGACTACTACCAGGGCCGGAGGATCACTATAACAGGAAGTATGTTGGGTAGGGCCAGGGAGAAGGCAGGGGATGGGGTTGGGGACGGGCTTACCAAGCTCCCTTGTGTGCACCCAAGTGAGGCTCATTAGTGCCAGTGTCTGAAATGACTGATAAAGGGAGGATCCTTTCTTCTATCCATCCATCCATCCATCCATCCATCCCCTTAACAGCAAAGAAGTATTGAGCACCTAACATATATAGGTGTTGTTCAAGGCTCTGGAAATACTGGAGTAAAGAAAATTATCAAATCATTTACCTCGTGGAGCTCGAAATGCAGTGAGAGAGACAAGATAAATACAACACATATTGTCCAGTGCTTGGAAATAAGAACACTGGGTAATGGAGAGAGAGGCAGGGCTTCTATAATACTAATACTACTGACAATAGTAAGTAAAATTTACATAAATAACAATTTATAAAGTACCCCCTATGCACTAGGCTCTAATACAGTTTTATGTGGATTAACTCGTTTAGACCACATTATAATTGTGTGAGTAGATTCTGTGAGTGTCATTTTACAGAGGCTCAGAGAGGAGAGGCAAAATGACTTGCACAGGATCACACAGCTGGTAACAGCTAGGATTCTAAGTCAGTCACTTTAGGTCTAGTGTCTAAGCTGGTAACTCCTTTGCAAAGGGCTCACAGAGGAGGTCATAGTGAAGTCAAAGGGTCAGAGATTTTAATGGAGAAAGTCCATGATTTGCTTTGCACATCACTGAGTCCTCACGGCCACATTTTACACTTGAAAACTTGAGGTACTGAGAGGTGAAGAAGTTTATCTAGGTGCACAGCTAGCAAAGAGCTGGAGCTGGGATTTGAACCCAGGCAGCCCAGAGAGTCCTTTTCTATACCTTAATGCTGCTTAATGATAGGAAGTGCTTATTGGGACTAAGGGGTGGTGGGGAAGTTGTTCATTCATTTATCCATTCAGTTGGTATTCAATGAGCATTTACTAAGTGCCAGGTGCTGTCATAGGCACTGGGGATACAGTGGTGATGAGGACATCTGATATCCCTGCCCTCAAGGAGGTGATGTGCTAGTGTAGTGGGGTGAAGTTGGCAGTAAATAGCAGATAAAGAAAGAATAAGAGAATATTAGAGAGTACTAAGGGCTATGATAAAACAGACCTTTATGCAGTGACTCGGGTGCATACCTTAAGACCTCTGTGAATGTGATTTGAAGAGGGGTTTGGGACTGGGTCCTAATAAATCTAGAGGGCAGGAAGGAAGGTGATGAGCAGGAGGGAGTGAGGAGTGAAAGCTCACCCACTTAATGGATTTATCTTTCACTGTCTTAAACAAGATTGGAGTTTTAATCTTGGGTATGGGAGCACAGGGGCAAAGGGAGCGTCCCTCTGTAGACCCCAAGAGACCAGGGCATGGGCACAGCCCTCCCCTCTTTCTGTCTAGATCGCGAACACAAGGCAAGGGTCCAGGGACTCAACCTCCTTACACTGAATTCCATAGGCAGCTCAGTCTAAAGCATCCTGCTCTTCTTGAGGACAGAGTGCTTCTTGGGGGTTTAACCTGTCCTAGCTCCCTCCCCCATATCTCAACTACCTCTCCCACCAGCCAGGACCAGGTGTGACTGACTGTCCAGCAGCCCTGTCAGGACAGCCCAAGTACTGAGGGTGCCCTGGAAGGCTGGCTGGAATCGCACCTCTGCTGAGTCCAAAATTCCAGAGTTACCCTCAGGCTGTAGCTAGGGCAGATTTTTCATGCTCCAGAGGCCTCACAGACCCGGTTCTTTCAAGCTGCTTTGATGTGGGCCCCTGTTTGATACAGGCTGTGAGTGTCCATTGTATGCACATCCTCTCAGGAAACCCAGTAGCCATGGGAGCTTCCTCCATTTCAGCTTTGAGAATGGAGAAAAGTGGACTCTCTTGTGGTGTTCCAAGGGTCACCAGCCATCAGATTTTTAGTGAAAGTAGTTCTGAGCAAACCATAATGGTGGTTCAGCCTCAGAGTCTCTCAGGTCAGGGATGGGCACTCCCCCTTCCGTTCTTCCCTGCTTTGGGTGACGTGGGATGCCTGCAAAGGAGTCCTTTTTCTATCTCTTCAGGCAGCATGGGGTCCTTGTGCCTCACTACCCCTCCCCCCACTCAGTTACACTGGACCAGATTGCCCATGGACCCCCAAGATTGTGAGAGCTGCCCCTGCTGTGTGCAGATAAGGAACCAGAGGACCAGCTTCTGTTCCAAACTGGGGACCTGGTGTCTTCTCCCTGCATCTAAAACAGCAATGCCCAGCCCAGGGTGTTGGGACCAGATGAAATACACACTGGCAACAGGGTGCGCCTTGCAGGAAGGAGGTGGGCCCAGGCCTTAGAATTGATCAAAAGAAGTTGGAAATCCGTGTTTTTCATGGGCTTTGGAAATATCATGCAGGACAAACAAAACACATGGAGGCCCAGGTCCAGGCCACAGGAGCCTATAAACTTTCACTGTAGTGAGGGCCGGGGCGGGGGGTTCCTGTCTACTTCTTCAGCGTTGGGCGGGGACCTGCCCTGGAGCTCTGGTTTGGGGGAGGTGTGGTCAGAGTCTGGTTTAAAGATAGGGTGGGGAAATGATGGCTTTCTGGATAGTCTAAAGAGTTTGGGAGAATGCACAATAGTGAAGAGTTTCATGAGGATTCAGTGAAAGTACATGCAGAGAGACCAGCACATAGTAAGAACTCAGTAACTGGTGCTACATGTGACCATGGAGGGGAGCCATGTCTTCTACTCCTTCACATCTGCTCCAGAGGTCACCTGCTTCACCTTGCACACCCCCACCTCCACACTGGCACTTTTTGTCTGCCTTCCCTATTAGTTTTATCTGTATTGCCTGTCACCATTTGATATGCTATAGATTTAAATTTACTTCTCTTTCCCAGTTAAGATCTGAGCTCTGTAAGGGCAGGTTTACATCTGCTGTCTATAGCAAGGGTTCTCAACGTGTTAGTCTTAGGGCCTCTATACTCTTTTTTCCAATCCTCGCCTAAGGTTATGTTTATTGATTTTAGAGAGAGAGAGTGGGGGAGAGAGACATCAATGTTAGAAAAACATCGATAGGTTGCCTCTCAAACACACCCCAGCTGGGAATCAAAACCACAACCTAGGTATGTGTCCTGACCAGGAATCGAACTTGCGACCATTTTGGTGTACAGGACAATGCTCCTGTAACCAATGCAACCAACCGAGCCACCCAGCCAAGGCTGGCCTCTCATTCTCAATTACTGAGGCCCTCAAAGAAATTCATTTTTATAGCTAGCAAACTAAGAGAAGTTTAAAAAATATTTTAAATAATGATAAGTTCCTTATAGGTTAATATGCATAGCATACTTTTAATGAAAATACTACTGTATTTCCCAAAAGAAAACAAAAAACTTCAGTGAACATTGTATCATCACTGTAATCTCCTTGCACATCTCCTTGAAGTCTGGCTGAATAGAAACTGGATTCTCAAAACTGCTTTTGCATTCAATATATGGTGTGATAGCACATGTCATGTAGCCTCTGGAAGACTCCACAGTACATTCAGAGATTAAGTGGAAAAGGTATTATGCAAGTAACTTTGATCTCTGGGATCCTCTGAAAAGATGTTGGGGAACCTTAGGACCCACCAGTCACTCAGAACTGATGCTCTCAAGTTTACCATGTGCTTCAGATACTCCCCAGAACATAGTATTGTTTCGATAAGTATGTGCTGAATACTGGATATATCAAGGGCTTATTTGAGTATCACCATGTGCCTAGAATGCTGGAATAGACAACAAAAGCTAAGGGAGGTCAGCTTGAGGAGGGAAGGGGTTCATTTCTGGGTTCCTGGCCAGGCCCTGTGTCCTGGGCACTTGGGGACTCAGCAGTGACTAACAGACCAGGTTTTGCTTGCATGGAGCCCACATTCTCCTGGGTAGGATCAGGGGTGCTCAGCCCCTAACCCAGCTGATGTAATTCAGCAGTGGGGTGGGGGAGCCGTGTGAGCAGGATGGAACCAGGCCTGTGAAGATCTGAGAACACAGCGCCAGGCAGAAGTACTAGCATGAGTACAAGCCAAGGCAGATGTGGGCCCAGCATGTTGGGCGCACAGTGAGGAGGCTAGGGTGTCCAGAGTCTAGTGAGTGGAGAAGGGTGGGATGAGGCTGGTGTAACCAGTAGCCAGATCATGCCAAGGGCCCTGTGAGTGGTAGGGGTAGACATTGAAAGGAGGAATTTTCTATGGATATAAGGTCTTCCAAAGGAAGAAAGCTGTGGTCCTTTCATTCCTGGCACTCACTAGTGGGTGCCAGGTGCTGCCGACTTGGACATAACAGTTACTACCCTCAGCCGTCATGGAGAAGGGCAGTGGGTATGTGGGGCAAGGTGGTAAGCAGGTCAGAGTGCCTGAGCATCTGGGAAGAAACTGGCCTGATGGCTGTGGGGGTATTCCTGTTTGCTGTGCTCCATGGGCCTCAGGAGAAGTTGTCCCCTGGATCTCACACTGGTAGATGGCTGAAGAGATGTAATAATTAGGGCCTGAGAAGTAGAGAGGCAACAGGAAATGCTGAAAGACTTTCATTACTGGTGTAATTAACAGGCTCCCTGCCCCGGGCTGCTTCAGACCTGAGCGTCCCCAAGCCATGGGTCTGACCCTGGACTGTGGGGGCTTTTGGTGGGTGGATGGATTAAAGAACTGAGAAATTCCAAGTCTTTCTCCCTCACTCACACCCTGCCCCCTACTCTTTCTCATGCCTGCATTTATCCTGATCCCTGGAATCTGACCTTAAAGCTGCCTCCTTACCCTATACTCACATCCCGCCCTATACCAGGCTCCTGGTAGTTCATGTTGGGGGAGGAAACTTTTGCTTTGAGAGGGTACGGAAGAGGGTGGTTATAAGTCTGAAGCACTGGCCCTGGAGTCAAGACAACTGATGATCTGGACAACTTTGGGTGGGTCAAGTCATCTCATCTACAAACAAGGAAGGGTTACACTGTCCACTTCAGATTTCTTGAACTACCCCATGTCAGGTGTTTAATACAGAGCTTGAGAGGAAGCAGTGCCTAGTATGAATTATCTCTTTGTTACTTGGTGCATCTGCAGCTCCATTCCCTTGACCCCTTCCCCATTGGCCCCATGGGGGAAGGATCCAGCCTGCCCTACAGTGGCCTCACACTCTCCTCCTGATACAGATGCTGACCTGACCTTTGACCAGACGGCTTGGGGGGACAGTGGTGTGTATTACTGCTCTGTGGTCTCAGCCCAGGACCTCCAGGGGAACAACGAGGCCTACGCAGAGCTCATCGTCCTGGGTGAGTGGACTGGTCCCTGAGGGCCTGGGAAGGGAAGGGGAAAGGGGGCCTTTTCTCCCACTTCTGTATGTCTCCCTCTGCTCTCCAGCTCGCTCTTCGGGCTCTGTTGCCTGCTTTGCTCTCCCCTCACAGCACCACCAGTCACTTGGGCTTATCTGTGCCCCACACCCTAGGCAGACATCTCAAGTAAGCCAGAGCCGAACTAAGAGTGGAGGGAATTGGGGATCATTTTTTAAAAAATACAGAAATGGTCAGAGTTGATTGGTAGTGAGCAAGGAGGGTTGATGATGTGTACAACTGAAAAGAAGCTGGGCCTGTCACATCTCCAGGGCCACATCTGATCCCACAGGCCTTTGCCAAATCACAGGAACCTTGTCCTCTACCCTGCTGGGATGGCGTTCGAGGCTGATACAGTGAGTGCTTCCCTCAGGCCTGGCCCCTCCAGATGCCCAGGGGCAGGGCAGGGTAGCCAATAGCAGCCCCTGTCTGGCCACAAAGCCCCCTTGCTACTTGTGGAAAGGATTTGCCATTAGCCAGATGTTCTATTCTCAGCCAACACATAGCCTTGAGTGACATGCTATTTGTGAGATGCTGCCAGGCCATACACTGCCATCATCATACACATGCTGCAAGGAAGTGCATGTGTGAATGAGCACACAGGGTGGGGGAGCGTGCTGCAGGGCACTCGGACCAGCCCACAGAATGCACACACCAGTGACCTGGGGAACCTCTGCGCGTCCTCTAGTAAGATACACAATCTGCATTAGCAGTTCTCAAAATGCAATCTCAGGTCCCACTTACACTCTGAAAAATTTGTGAGGATCTCAAAAGAGTTTTTGTGGGTTATATCTTTAGTTGTTCAATGGCTTAGACATTGAAACCAGAAAATGTTTAAAGCAAGATACACAAGGCCACAGTCCCTTACCATCAAAGCAATAATGTATGTCATCCCATGTTACAGAGCCTCTGGAAAACTCCACTGTACACCCTGACAAAACGAGAGTGAAAAAGGCAAATAATAGCTTAGTGTTATTAGGAAAATTATTTTGGCTTTGGCGATAGGACCACACTTTGAGAACTGCTGGTTTGGATGGTGGAAACCCCCTCAGTGGGGCATGGGGCATGGAGTGCGTGAGCTCTGCATAGAAGTTTTGTTGGCAGAGAGCTGGGTGTGTGCATGCCCCAGTGATATGCTGCTGGGTGCAGAGCAGCCATGGCACCTGAGGGAAGGCACTAGCTGGCCCATGAAACAGGTGGATGGGATGGAATGCATGGAGCCAGGTAGGACCCTCATGGGTCAAAGAACCAGGACCACACTGACTTTTAGAGGCTGTAGGTACTTTTGACTTCATGGGCTTCTTTCTCTGCATTAAAACAAATACATATTTTATGATTACTTTGCTATAAAGACAATTTGTTATTATGTATTTATTGTTACTACATTTTTTTCTTCAGATCTTAAAATGAAATTAAAACATTTTCAAGGGCTTAGGACACTGCCTACTATGCCTGATGGAACAGGACTGTCCTTACCACATGGCATGCAACCCTTTGGGGCAGTAGGACCTGTGTATGTGGAAAAGATGGAAGTGCCCAAACTGAGGTCATGCATTCAGAACCCATGGGGAATGTACTTGGACGTGTTTGGACAACAGAATCCCCTGTGGCATGAGACCCACAAGGGTGGGGGTGGGGGTGGAGGGCAGGAACCATGTGCTGTGACCCTCCTAGGTCACTAACCTGTCCTCTGCTTCAGGGCACACCTTCACCCTGATAAGCCCGGAGCTGGGCTTCTGGGGAGGGACGGCCTGGGCTGGCCCTTGCCAGCATAATCTGTCTCTCTTTTGTCCCTCCAGGCAGGACCTCAGGGGTGGCTGAGCTCTTACCTGGTTTTCAGGCGGGGCCCATGGAAGGTATGGGCATAGAGTTCCCCTATACACCACTCATTGCTTCTAAGTATTCTCCCCCACCCCAAACACTGCTCGCTGTGTGGGACCCCCACTAACTTTGCCTGACTTCAACTCTGGCATCCAGTGACCTGGCTCTGAGCTTTGGGGTGGGCAGGGATGGCTGAGGATGGGCCTGGGGTAGGCAGGAGGCTCCTGTGACTGGTGCCTGTAGTGCTTTTCTGGGGTTTGGGATCTGGGCAGCTGGTGCTCTATCCCTTTTCTGAGGTTACAGCCTGTCTTGCTCTTGCCAGATCACCTCTCCTTTTCTGCCTTGCCCTCATGAGCCCAGAGTGAGTTCCCTGACTTTGGGATTGCCCTGGGTTGTAGAGGAGTGGGCACACCTCTGCTGTGCCCTGCAGTCTGACAGTGGGGATGCCAGCAGGGTGCAGCTTCCCTGGAGAACTATGAAAATAGCTTCGACTCACTCCATCTCTGCACTGCCCTGCTGTGCCTGTGTCCCTATTCCTGCCCGGGCCTCCTGGCTCAGGGCTTGTTCCCATCTCTCTGCAGATTGGCTGTTCGTGGTTGTGGTCTGCCTGGCTGTCTTCCTTGTCTTCCTCCTCCTGGGCATCTGCTGGTGTCAGTGCTGCCCACACACCTGCTGCTGTTACGTCAGGTGCCCCTGCTGCCCAGAAAGGTGCTGCTGCCCAGAGGCTTGTAAGTGCCCCTTGAGTGACCACACCCACTTGACAATGTGCCTGGGTCCAAGGGGAGGAGTTACACTGGTCTGGAGGTTATGAGTTGAGCGATTTTGGAGGAAGTGGGCCAAGGAGGACCAGCTGATTTAGACTTTTATTCACATCAACTTTCCATTTATTTTGAATCTTTGAGGGTTTTTTTTGAAAGTATAATGTATATGCATGGTAAAAAATTTCAAATAGTATAAAACAGACACTAGAAAGTAAATCTCCTTTTAAAAAATAAAATCTTAAGTGAAAGGTAAGATACCAAACTGGGATTATAGCACCACATAATTTAAACAAATTTTAAAAAACCCATCCACAGAAGCACTTGGATTTTACACAGATACTATGTTTAAAAACACCTAGCACATCAGAGTGGCACTTGGAGGGGTGGGAATGGAAGTGGGACCAGAGGTGAGGGGGTAAGAAGCAAACGAAATTGGAGAGGGGAAAGGGAGTTCCCCTCGTCCCCGAGGCCCCAGTGCCCATTTGCAGGCACAGTTGGGGTAATCCAGCACCTCTGCACTCAGCTCTTTTGAAGTTTTTGTGACTGTTTTCATCAACTTTGACATGGATGTTTATGTTGGCCACTTTCATATGTATATGATATCTAGTCTCTTGCAGTGAAAATGGGCCATGAAATCATACTTTTGTAAGTTCAACACTTTCACCTTTTCTTTATCATGGTCAAGTTCATCATATCTTTGTTTGATCTTGACAGCTAGAAACAAGTAACTTTACACCTGAGGAGCACCTTGAACATGAGGCCAAAGAGAGAGAGACCAGCTCCTCTCATGGCACCTGCTCATTTCTAGACCAGTAGTAAACGGGTGATGGAAAGATGACCCATGTATTACAGACAGATGGATGTTTGTGTACTAATGTTTAAAGCTTACATGCCATAATTCCAGTGTAACACAGCCCAAGCAGTGTAAACAGTTAAATCACAAGTGATTGTCTGCATGCTTGGGCAGGTGGACGTTTGAGGCCTAACTTACCTCCTTATCTGCTTGGAAGCCCAGTGAATTCCCCTCAGTCTCCTCTTCTATAAAATGGGGCTATGGCAGAGCCCTCTTTACAGGGTGAATATGAGAAACTGGTGTCCAGCATTTAGTGCAGGGCTCAGCCTATGTAAATTGTTCCACACCTATTAGCCATTGGACATCACTGCTGACAGCATCAGTAATGACCAAGGGCCAGAGAGCAAATCAGAGCCTTGCCGCTCGCACCCCAGACAAGCAGTGTTCCCTCTCTGAGCCTATTTCCTTCTGTCCAAGGTCCCTCCCTCATGGGGTGTCGTGAGCATGAAGGGAACACTGAGTACTCAGCAGAGTTTCTGTTCAATCCATGCCGTTTAATTTTATGGTCACTGGTGGGCAGAGTGTTTTCCCAAAGTAGCGCTCCTCTGAAAAAAAAAAATCCACTGCTCTCTGGGGGCTTATGCTAGCCATTACCTTTCTTGTCATTTTTAGTTGAGAGCTTTTGGCTAAGGTGGTGGATGTTAGTCCAATACTTGGGAAGGACCCCCAGGGGCTATAAATTTGCAATTACCCCACAAATTAAGTTAGGGCTAGGGCCAGGACTGTAAATCCCCTCCTTCCGAGTCCCTGTTACCCTAAACCGAGGCCCCATTAACTCCCTGTCAGAGGCTGTATTACTCCACAGCCCTCCTGGGCCATCTGAGAGTAGCAGCTCCCACCACAAATTATAAAACAGCCAATTACCTGAGGTGCTGGAGGTTTCTCCAACTGAGTCTTCTGCTTCCCCACTGAATCAGAAGTGAAGCCTATCTTCCTGAGCCTATCTCCTCCCACCCCACCTTTTCCTGTTGGAGGCCCAGGGAAGAAGCAGTTTGCTTAGGTGTAGTGACTGCTGCAAGAGCAGCTACCAAAACCCAGCTTTTTGTTGTCTGGGGAGGAAGGCAGCAAGGATTTTCCCTTGAGCTGTTAAGCCAAGGACCAGGAGAGGACAAAGACAGAGCGAGAGTGGGTGCAGCCCAGGAGCTGGAAACACTAGAGATACTCCCTTTGGCAGCTAGATCTGGAGACCCTATGGGGAACACCTAGCAGGCTTGAGATGGGAGCAGGTATGGGACCTTTCCTAAGATGATTCCTTTTCTAAAGCTGGGGTTTAGCTGCTGACATGAATATGCTGGCCTATGGGTCCAGCACATAGGCTTTATCTAAAGAGGCATCTTTGCCCCTGTTGTTCTGAAAGAGTGCAGGCCTCATGTGGCCACATCTTCTGATAAGGTGGCTACAGAGTTGGGATTTTATGTAAAATCTCAACAAATGTTGGCAAACCATCACACTGTCCTCAAAGCTCTGTAAGTACTCACATAAGAGGTTTGGCCTCATGGAAGATAATGAACTTGCAGAAACAAAGTCTCTAGGGTAGCTCCACAACTGGAAGGTGGGGGGAAGGTACAGGCACATGCTCCTCCAGACCTTTTATAATGGAAGGGCAGTATGGCTCCTGGCCACTGTCTCATGCTGTGTGTGTCCTACCAGTGTATGCAGCTGGCAAAGCAGCCACCTCAGGTGTCCCGAGTATCTACGCCCCCAGCACCTATGCTTACCTCTCCCCTGCCAAGACCCCACCCCCAGCAACCATGATTCCCATGGGCCCTGTCTACAATGGATACTCTGGAGACTTCGACAAGAATAGCTCAGGTGAGCTCTGGTGAGCAGCTGGGGCAGGGGTGGGCTAGGTATTTGGGCACTGAGGGGTGTGGGGTGGGAAGAAAGAGGGAATCGGGGATGGGGGAGGGTGCTGGGAGTGCAGGGCTTTGCTCCAGGAGGTGCAGCTACTGACAGCCAGTCTACTCCAGTAGGTGGCGGTAGCTCCCAGGTACCCCTGCTTCGTGACACAGATAGCAGTGTGACTTCTGGTAAGACCCAAGCATTATAAAGTTGGACATACCTGTAGGGGTGGGAGGCTGGGTCAACTCCTAAACTGATCACCTCCATCTCTTGTCTCTAGAAGTCCGTAGTGGCTACAGAATTCAGGCCAGCCAGCAGGATGATTCCATGCGGGTCCTGTACTACATGGAGAAAGAACTGGCCAACTTTGACCCTTCTCGACCTGGCCCCTTAAATGGCCGTGTAGAGAGGGGTGAGAAGCCTTAAGAGTTTGAGGGGTTCCAGAGGGGAGGTGGGAAGCATGTCTCCCTGATTACCTGTCCCAGGGATGCTTGCTGCAAACCCTGGACATAGTGCCTCCTTCCCTACTGAGGCCATAGTGAGAAGTATATGGATGTATGGAATGCTGCATATCACCCTTAGCAAATGTAAAGCCTAGGGCTCTGTAGAGTGTATTAGCCAAATGGTGACACTCCTGGACCCAGAGTGCCTGGCACTGAGTCTTGACCTAGCAGTCAGTGACACTTCCCTTCTCTACAGCCATGAGTGAAGTCACGTCCCTCCATGAAGACGACTGGAGATCTCGGCCTTCCAGGGGCCCTGCCCTCACCCCGATCCGGGATGAGGAATGGGGTCGACAGTCCCCTCGGAGCCCCAGGAGGTGGGAGCAAGAGCCCCTCACAGAGCGGCCCAAGAGTGGTTGGGGGGCTGGTCGGCCCCGGGCCCGCTCTGTGGATGCTTTGGATGACCTCACACGGCCAGGCTCTGCAGAATCGGGGAGGAGGTCTCCCCCAAGTAGTGGGAGGAGAGGCCGAGCTTACGCACCCCCACGAAGCCGCAGCCGTGATGACCTCTACGACCAGGAAGACCCAAGGGGCTTTCCACACTCCCAGGAACCCCACTTCAATGACTTCAGGCCCAGTGACCGCCCTTACACTGACCCTAAGTCTCGCTACCACCGCTCCCGGGACCCTCGGAATGATAGCTCTAGGTCCGGGGACCCCCAATATGATGGGAGGCTTTTGGAAGAGGCCTTGAGGAAAAAGGGGCCAGGAGAAAGGAGACCTTACAGGGAGGAAGAGAAAGAGGAGGCCTACTATCCACCTGCCCCTCCCCCTTACTCTGAGACTGATTCCCAGGCCTCACGGGAGCGGAGGCTTAGGAAGGTGAGTGGACAGCCTTCCCTGACTTTAAGACCTTTCTTGGCCGCTCTCATCCAGGCTTACCGAGCTCACATTCTTTTCTTTCTCTTTTGCAGAACTTGGCCCTGAGTCGGGAAAGTTTAGTCGTCTGATCTCGTTTTGTATGTAGTTTTTGTACTTTTTTTTTCAATTTGAGGAACTGTTGATGATACTCAAAAGTATAATAAAATATGTGATCACAAGGCCTAAATCCGGAGGGAAGCATTTGTTTTGCTGCCTAAAGTGCGGAGCCCCGAGAGCTACCGTTTGTGTTTGCACAAGACCGCGTATGCCCTTCTTTCCCGGGACTTTTTGTTCTGGGCCAGCAGGAAAGGACCAACTCGGCCTTCTCGCTTTCCCCTAGGAAGGGAGTACGTGCCCCACACTCGCTCCGCCCGACTCTGCGTGCGCGCTCCAGCCCCGCCCCGACGTGCGCATGCGCCCCCGAGCTTCCACTTTCGCGTACTTTAACATGAATGCCGGGAACGCGCATGCGCGCTCCTCTCCCGTTCCACTTCATTCACTTTACCCAGCTCCTGACTATATAGTTCCCAAACCCCACAGTCAGCCTCTGCCCCTGGCGTTCCATCCGGGGCCGCATTCCACCCGGGCGGCCCCGAGGAGTGGCAGCGACCCCGTGCCCCGCAGGCACCCAGGCCGGCGCGCGCCCGCCCAGCATCCGAGACAAACAGCGTGCGCGTCCCCCGGGGCTTGCCCCCCCCGCGCGCGCGCATCGGCCCGGGGCTCGCGCCGCCGCCGCCGCCGCCGCGCGCGCGCGCAGCACAAGTAAAGGAAGAAAAAAAAGGAGGAAAAAATAGAAAGCGGCGGCCGCTGCAGCAGCGATTCGCCACCGGACTGGGCCAGGCCGGGCGGCTGACGGTAGAGCCGCAGATCCAAGGGAGAGGCGGCGGCCGTCCAGGGCGGGCCGGGTTAAAAAAAAAAAAAAAAGTCGCGGCGGCGGCTCGGGCAAGAAGGCCCGAGTGCCGCGTGCAGCGGACGGGGGGCGACCGCGCTGGGTCCCGGAGCCTAGAGCCGCTGCGAGCCGGCAGGAGGGCGGGCGGAGGCGGCAGCGGCTGCAGGAAAAGCGGCAGCGGCGGCGGCGGCATCTCCTCCTCACATGACCCCACTGTTTGTCCCCGTGATCAGCGCGAGCGGCTCCCGTGTCTCCTCCGTCCCCTCCTGCCGCGCGGCGTGAGCGCCGGGCTCGGGGGCCCCCCCGGCCGCCCGCCCGCCCCCCTCCCTCCCTCCCTCCCCCTCCCCACCCCCACCCCACCCCCACCCCCACCCCACCCCATCCCATCCCATCCCATCCCTCCCCTCCCCTCCCCTCCCCCCGGGCCCCGCGCCCCCCGCCCCCCACCCCCCCCATGGACATGCTGGACCCGGGTCTGGATCCTGCTGCCTCGGCCACCGCTGCTGCCGCCGCCAGGTAAGGGCACCTGGCTGGTCCGTGCCCCCGCGCGCCCTGACTCCGGGCCCTTCGACTGGGCCGCCGGGCCGCCATGATCCTGAGCGACCGCCGGGCCCAGCTCAAAATGGAGGCCGCGAGGGAGGGGGGAACGTGCTAATGCCCCCGGCCCCGGATCCTAGTGGTGCCAGCCCTAGAAAGCGCCGGGCAGGGTCGGGGGCTTGCACTTGAGCAAAGGGGCGGGGGTGCGGGCGGCCCTGACCTCCTCTTCCCGCTTTCCCCGCAGTCACGACAAGGGACCCGAGGCCGAGGAGGGCGTCGAGCTGCAGGAGGGTGAGTGCTCGCAGGGCCCAGCGGGCTGATGCCCGCGCCCGGGGAGGGCACTGGGGGAGCCCGGGCCCACTCGACCGCTGACCATCCCCCTACCCTCCTTCGACCGTAGGCGGGGACGGCCCTGGGGCGGAGGAGCAGACGGCGGTAGCCATCGCCAGCGTCCAGCAGGCGGCGTTCGGCGACCACAACATTCAGTACCAGTTCCGCACAGAGAATAATGGAGGACAGGTGAGACAGGGCCGTGAGCCCCGGTGCGGGGGTGGGGTGGCAAGTGGAGGGGCGAGCGGAGCGTCGAACTGGAGGATTGGGAAGGACTCCAACCTGAGCCCTGACTGGGTTCTAGCGCTGGTCTCGCTGCTCTGCCGCCCCCTGCAGGTGACATACCGCGTAGTCCAGGTGACTGATGGTCAGCTGGATGGCCAGGGCGACACAGCAGGTGCCGTCAGCGTCGTGTCTACGGCTGCCTTTGCGGGGGGGCAGCAAGCTGTGACCCAGGTGGGTGTGGATGGGGCAGCCCAACGCCCCGGTCCCGCTGCTGCCTCTGTGCCCCCAGGTCCCGCAGCACCCTTTCCACTGGTAGGTGGTCAGCAACACTATGATCTTGGGAAGCTCCAGTGGGTGGGGTGTGTCCGACATAGATACTGTCTTCAGGCTGTCTGGCTGTGTGCGTTAAATTCCTGTTCTGTGTAGTGAAACCTTGGGCAAGATTTTTGGAACATCGTTTTGTTTTTTGTTTTTGTTTTTTTGGTCTTGTCATTTCTAAGTTAGAAATGATGGTAATAGAAAAGCCTCTTAAAAGTAAAAATTAGTTGTGTTTACTAAATGATTATTGAGTGTCTGTGAGATCCAGTGTTATCTGAGATGTAGGCAGAGTGGCACATGTAGAGGGGCTGCTCATCCTCTACAGTGGATGCAGTTTCTATCAAACAGGACAACAAGGGGATGAGTTGGGGAACAAGATGGCTAAGGGTGGCCTCTGTGTCCTCCTACTCCCCAGGCTGTAATCCAAAATCCCTTCAGCAATGGCGGCAGCCCAGCAGCTGAGGCTGTTAGTGGGGAGGCACGATTTGCCTATTTCCCAGCGTCCAGTGTGGGAGATACCACGGCTGTGTCAGTACAGACCACAGACCAGAGCTTGCAGGCTGGAGGTAAAAGGAGGAAGGGGGCCGAGGTGGAAGGCAGGGGAGGCAACAGGCTTAGCAGGGAGGGAGCCCCCAGCTATTTCTGACTCTGCCCTTGACTCTAGCACTAACCCCTGATTTCCCTACAGGCCAGTTCTATGTCATGATGACGCCCCAGGACGTGCTTCAGACAGGAACACAAAGGACAATTGCACCCCGGACACACCCTTACTCCCCGTATGTGCAGGAGACCTGGGCCCAGGAGCAGGGGACGCTGGGAGGGCCTGGTGTAGAGCTGAAGAAAGGGAAGGTTTTGTGGAATACAAGCTGGGCAGTTGAACACACAGCAGGCGCTTAGTTTGTTTTTTGGTCTGTTTCTGTTTTTTTTAGTATAAAGAAAGTATCATTTCCTCTTTCTATATGTGGACATGTCTTACAAGGTCATTTTCAGGTTTAACTCCTTAATAAATTCTCAGACAAATGCGGCCTGAGATAACATGTGCCCATTTTTTCTCCTTGTAGAAAAATTGATGGAACTAGAACACCACGGGATGAGAGAAGGCGAGCTCAGCACAATGAAGGTAAGGTCAAGGTGGAGCCTGGGGCCAGCCCAGGCCTCAGCTTCACAGGCACAGCCAAGCCTGGTATGTGCAGTCAGAGGTCACCTGACACACTACGAGTGCGAGAGAGGCATTTGTTGAATGCCAGAAAAGTAGAAACAGATGGAGGAAGTTCATTGTCTGGAATGTACAGGCAGGAGTTATGGATGATAAAACACTGGAATGTGTTTTGTCATCCTGGCTACTGATTTTGAATTAATGGCCAGCATCTAAAATGGCAGATTGCACATTTGCATAAGGATTTCCTGCTCCTTTTGGATTGATTCTGGCTTTCTTGGACCTACCTTTCCATTGCTGGCTGTTGTGTGCCATTTTCCTGCCCACCTGGCTTCAGGAAGTAACTCTGGTCTGATAGGGAGTACATTGGAAGCTGTATCTCTGGCTTGCCAACATTGGAGCATCCTGCCCTTCCCATAAACACCAAATCCAGTCTGAGGTCATTTTCGCCCTCCTTGCTCTCCCCTAGTTTCCCACCCCAACCGCTACCCCCAATCAGTAGCCATTGTGGTGGACATAGCAGCATTCAGGTCAAGGGGAATACTTACACCCAACAACCATCCTTCAGAAAATATTTCCTGAAGGTGGATTCCAAGCTGAGCAACATGTGCTCTGGGCCAAGGATGGGGCTTGGTATGGAGTGTCAGGGAGGCTTAGGAGTTCAGGCTGTTGTCTGACTGAACACTGGGGGATCAGGTGGTATTTCCCCAGGGAAATGGTCTTTGGGAGGGCCTATCAGTCAGATGAGAGTACAGGCTGGAAGAGGGAAGGCAGAGAGGAGTCAAGTTTCTTTGGAGGATGCTGGTTTGGTTATAGAGGTTCCATGTGGAGTCCTTGGGAGAGAAGCCAGGAGAGTCGAGGAAGGCCCTGCATACCAGGGTGAGGTCCCAGAATCCTAAAGGTACTCGACTGGGGATGGGCTTGTGCAGCTATGAGCTAAGCAGATCACTAAATTGAAGCATTCATTCAGCACTTATGTACTATGTGCCAGCCCCCGTTTCAAGTTCTTAGGTACAGTGGATAATCAGACAGATGAGGTCTTGGCTCTTGTAGTGTTTATTGAGGTGGGAAAAACAGAAATTACACAAAGCTACAATAAGATATCAGAGTTTGTGAAGGAAGATAAAGCTGGGCAAGGAGATGGAGGGTAATGGTGGCAGTGTAGGCCTCTGAGAGGTGACATTTGAGCGAAGGCCTGAATGGATCTTAAGGAATGGGCCAGCCAAGTACTGGGGAAGAGTCCCAGGCAGAGGGATGAGCAAGTGTAAACACCCAGGCCTGAGCCAGAATAGACTCGTCATGTTTAAAGAACAGCAGAATTCAGGAAAGGAAAGAGGAAGTTGGCAGGGTTGTGGGAGGATTGGTCAAGGCCAGGTCACGTGGGGCCTTGTATGAGGCCCTCCAGTGTTCCTGCTCTTGGATTTTTATTGTAGTTTGAGGGGAAACCAACAGAGAGGTTTGCGTATGGCACAAGATAGTAAGGGTTACCAGAGCCTAGGAAAATAGGAGGTGACTGCAGACATCTTGTCAGAGACAGGACAGGGCATGGAGGGAGCGGGGCCCTCCATGGGAGAAGATTCCAAGGGAGAAGATTCCAAGGTTGAAGAAGCAGGTTTTCGTGATGGGGTCAGGTTGGTTGGAAAAGGGAGGGGATGAGTCTAAGCTTGGCTTTTGGGTGTGGCAAGTTTGAGGGGCCTCCTGTAGGCTACCCAGCAGTTTCATCTCTGCTGTT